AATAACGAGAACTAAGTTACGTAACTTAACGTTAGTTCGTTACGTACTGTATAGTATAACGAAACCTTAACCGTTACGGTAACGGTTAACGTTACGTACTATTTGCTGTCATGTTAAACTTATATTAAAGTTTTTCTTCATTACCCATTTAAGCCGTCTCCAGCCATTGATAGAACCATCGATAAGCCAATGAGAAAATTTATTGGCCAGGCCAATTAAAACATTTGGCAAATTGTGATTGGATAACTCACCTCCAGAGTTTATTATTGCTATTAGTATTAACGTATTTTCCCATATAACGTACTGTTACTTTTTTTTTCATATTGTAGATTTTGTATTTAAATATGAAGTTATCAAAATGATTAAGGAATATATCTTGTGGTATTTTGTTGGATAAAATATTAGTTTAGCTCCGCCCATACGAGTTCAGATTGCTTGGAAAATAAACACGTGTAACATGAAGTTGCCTAGGTGGCAGTTTGAGCTTCATGAAAGCATCTGTGCGTGGAAGTCATATTTCTTATTAAAAATTAAAAGTACAATTATTTTACTGTGTGTCTTACATTTTCATTAATTCGTTTGTGTTCAACTATGTACTCTAGAATTTTGAAACACGTTATACTATTTGCGTTTCTTTTGTCTTTACTATATCAGACATGTTTATTAGAGGACGTGGTCGTGAACGAACAACCCTTGGAAAACGAAGATGGTGAGAATCATTAAAGTTCATCGACTCTTCTTTCTTCATTCTTGTTACACTTTACAGACTTACTCTAGTTTCCTTAGTGTTGTCATAGCTACCGTGTACAGGCATTCCAACCAGCAAAAGTATTTTTAGTGTTAGGGATAGATCTAGATACTTCCCAAAAAGTAGTAGTAGTACTATTAGTATTACTGTCAGTGTCAACTTTCAGTTTCAAGGCAAATGTTCAGTTCAGCATGTTGTCTGATTCTGAGTCTAACACACATTCAAATTATAATACATGTAGCAATAAAGATATATGATGGAAGGTGCTTGTTAATATTAGTAGTAAACAAAGTTTTAAAAATATGCTCACTACGTAAAGTCTATAAACATTTCTAACCTTATATTGATAAAGCCAGATCAGTCACCGTCTATATGGAGATGTATCGTGTAGTCTATAGTATAGATGCTGATGATAAGGTATTAACCTTAACTCTCGTGGTTTTCTGAAATTTTATCATGAAAAACATTAATCTTACACAAATGATTTCATCAATTCATGTTCAATCCACTAAAACACCAGTTATTTACAACACATCTAACCTGACATCATTGGATCAACTTCACAAAATGACCAGAAACAGAATAATTTTTTTAGTTAGAGATTTTTGTGGCTATTGTAGTATCGGTAATTTGTTTAAGATTACAAAAAAAAAGGAATTTTAGAGCTGCTATGGATAATGCTTGTAATAAAGTTTTATGTTAATAATTGTGACACTTGTAGTAGTACTAGATTAGATGTGGTGTTAAATTGGGTTAAGAAAGCTGTAGGTGAGGTTAAACAAGTTAACAGTTCAAGATGCTTTTCCAAGTGAGTGTTGCTAATAGATTCATTTATCTTACCAGCAACAAAAGACTAATTCTGTAATTGGTCTGTAAATACAAAACAGGACAATTTTCTGAATCTTCCATACTGGGATTACCCAAGACCCTTTCTTTTAAAATGCTGAATTAATATTTTAAGCTACTTGTTCAGTTTTAAAGTCCCCTAAGTTGAAGGATGGAATTTAAAAAAATCTCAGCTATGGTTTTAGAAAAGTTTTTGTTTCACTGATTTGTTGAAGATTTTTGATAGGGATTTTCCTTGTGTGGTTGAGGGTACTCATTTTAATGTTGTGCATCTAAACTTTCAAAAGGCTTTTATCAAGTTTTGATTAAGTTTCTTATAATAGGTTAATTTGTAAGCTAAGTTTTTCCAGAATTAGGGAAAAGATGATTAAAACATGTCTTCAATGTAGAAAGATTATGATAAATGGCTGTCATTCTGTCTGGGAAAATGTAAATAATGGAATCTCTTAAGGCAGTGTTTTCCAACCTTTTTTTTGCCAAAGGCACACTGACTTATAAAAATGTTGTATGGCAAACACAAACCCCCACCAACTTATGAAAACTCAGCCTAATACACAACTTTTTTTTTTACCACATGAACTACAAAGATGTAGCATAATGTTACATCTTGCACCAGTATCCTGAAAGAGCAACAAGACAGAATAAACTTTGGTTCTGTCCACAAAACTAATTTGTAAAATGATACTTCTAATTAATTAATTTTTTTATGTGTGACTTTTACAGAATTCTGCTGAGCACCAGTTAGGAAACACTCCCTTAAGAATCTATCTTGGGACCTTAAGTGTTTATTATCTGTGTCAATGACAAGGAATGCTTGAAGCAAAACTTAAGTTATGGAAACCTAATTCTAGACTAATTATTAAGTGGAGTTATTTTTTCCTGTTACAGATTTCACTTGTGGAATTATTTGTCAGATGATGTGCTATGTGCTGGTAGCTCAAATTCCTAAAGTGTTATTGATAATTTTATGAATATTTAAATTGGACAGGTGTCTTTGCTAGATGGGCCATATTGTCTTCTGTCTTCAATAATTTCTTATGAGAATAATTTAAGTCACAATTTCTGCGTGATTAATATCAGCAGCATCAGTATTTGCATAACTTGCATTAGTTAGATAAAATTACTCAATTAATATTAAGATTACTTACAATGCTAATTAATAAAAAAAAAGGTTTGCTTATGTTCGTGTAATTTTTGGCTTTTGCAAAAAGGCCTAGAAATGTATTTTGCAGATAATCATAAGGTAAAAAAGGAAATGCCGTTTAGTGGTGGTTTGTTGCTTAACTTAATATATTGATTTTCTTTTAAAGTCATAATTAACTCCTGTAAATCCAGATCCGTAGTTCTACGCATCACAGACTGTGGTTGACATATTATAACATTCCACTTTGCTTTCATTCATAAGTTATAAGAAATATAAGCCAGAAAAGCATTTTAACTTGGCTATATTCATTACTGGATTAATTGTTAGTTCTTATCTATGTAGGTAGCTTGCTTTGATTAAAAGTTAATGATAATTAAACCCATTAATCAGTTATCTGACTGATTTGTGATATGATATTTTTTTGTATGTCCTGCTCCATATACATTGTTATTTAACATAATTTGAAATTAACCCGATGTCTTGTATTTTTTCCTAGACATCCCTGTTATCGAAGGTTTTGGAGGAAATGTAAAGATCACAGAAGAAGATGATGTTTTGATATTGAATAATGACAATTTTGATCTAATTGTAAATCCTAAGGATATAATTTTGGTTGAGTTTTATGCACCATGGTAAATACTTTTCTCATAGTGTTGTTTGTAACTTAATATTGATATTTGTTTTTAAGATATTGTAATATCCATCAGTTTGTTGATTACTTTTAATTTTTTTTTAATTTAACATTTTTATTGCTGGCATTTATATTCATATAATGACTGTAGATTATTGACTTTTTATTTATGTGTAGAAAGAATTGTACATATGATACATTTATGTACAGTAGTTGGTATTTTGAAACTTTTCACTAAATGATATAAATACAACACACCTTAGCACTTAACAGATGGACATTCAGAGGTCTATTTCTTTAATGAGTGTGTTCTCAAATTTTTTAGAATAAATAATAGCTGTATGAATAAAATTCATTACACAAATAATTATTTGTTAACTCTATTTGTATCCTAGTTTAAATAATTGACTGATTTAGCAATTGCAAATTAATTTACAGTATGTTAAAACAACTAAGAAAAAATAACTTTTTTATATTATTAACCAAGAAATGTGAATATAAGTTTAAATTATAACATACAGTTAACAAGGGACCATTTCATTAAGGCTTTACTTGCAGAATCAGCCTTGAGAGATGTAAACATTTTAACTCCCCCTTTATGTTTCAAAAAATCATTCATTCCCTTCTAAACTTTTTTAAAGGTCTGGCCTCCACTGCTGCTTATGGTAATTCATACCTTAAGTTAATTACTCCGTTAGAAAAAAAATTATCTTAACTGAAGCTTGGCCTGACTTTTTCAAATCCTAAACGTTTTTCAGAGGCCTCAATCTCGTCATTCCTCTAGATAATCTTGTAACTTCAGTAAGATCACTTCTTATCCTTTTTTTTTCTCAAGAAAAAGTAAAAGATCTTAATATATCTCTAAGATAACCCTACCATCCCTGGAATCATCTTTATAACTCCTCTAAACTCTTTTCTATAAGTCAGTATCCTTTCTTAAATAAAAAAACAAAACTGTAAAATTACATAATATTCCAAGTGAGGCCATACTAGTGATATATATAGAGATAATTAATTCTTTTTGACTAGTAATCAGTATGTCTTTAAAATTCTATTAGCTTTACTACTAGCATCAGATTACTGCTTTACTGGCTTGAATGACGTATCTACCACTATACTAAAATTATTTTATTCAGTCATGTCAGTAAGTTGGTACCGATCTATGTTAAACATGTGATCAAAGTTATGATAACCTAAATACAATAGCTATAATTAACGGTCATTTACCACATATTTGTCCAACTGATCCAAATCATTCTGTTATTCCTCATCATCTTCGATATAGCTAGAAATACTTGTGAGTTTAAGATCGTCTGCAAGCTTTACTAATTATGCACCTATCAATATCATTAATATAATAAAGAAAAACCAAAGTCCCATTCACTGATTCCTGTGGTGAAAAATCGTATAACATGATATAGAGACAACACGGAACTATTTGGTCTTTAAAGGCTGTCCCTGCACATTCACCTCTGACAAAATAAAAATTAAAACCACGATGTTTTTCAGGAAAACATCAATTCACTGATTCCTTTGGTGAAAAACCGTATAACATGATATACAGACAACAAGGGACTTTTTGGTCTTTAAAGACTGTCCCTGCACATCCACCTCTGACAAAATAAAAATTAAAACCAGGAAAGCATCAATTCCTCTTTTAACCGGAACTCTTTCCATAAAATAAATACCTATTAGAAAAAGTGTTATTGGACTCTGGATTACTACTGATGAAATTACCTAAAATTTAGCTTTAATTACTTCAGAATCCGAATAAAGTAAATGCCAATAACATTAATTTTTAATAAATTTTTCATGTATTATATTATAATGCTGATCTTTCTACCATAAATTTGTTTTTGATTGAATAGTGTATATTAGCACTGGAATCACAGTAGATGAAGTTTTGTGAACTCCTCTGTTTTGTGTTTCAATCCAGGTGTGGCCACTGTAAGTCGTTGGCTCCAGAGTACGCTAAAGCAGCAAAGAAGTTAAAAGAAGAAGTTCCTACTGTACCTCTAGCAAAAGTTGATGCCACCACTGAGACAGATTTGGCTTCACGTTTTGAAATCACTGGCTATCCCACGTTACTAATATTTAGAAAGGGAAAGGAATCAAAGTATGAAGGTCCTAGGTCTGCAATGGGTAAGATTTTTGTTGTGCAGATTAGAGGCATATTAATATTTATGTAAAAAAAATGTTCAGATATGAAGTACGTATAAGTGGTTACTCTTCTAATTATTTTTTAGAGTTTCTCTAAGTGATGAAAACTCTTAAATTATAGAATAAGTTTTTAGTTTTAACCATGGTGGAAGTTGACGAGATGAATATTTAGAGCATTTGTAAACACTATGAGCATAAATGTACAGAAGTACTTATATGTACAAATGTTTCATTTGTGAACTTACATGAATTACTAAAATAATGACAGAAATGTTACATATAAAACCAGTTCACATAAGTAAATGATAAGTAAGAAACCTAGGTGTGATTCATGTGAAGGAAGAGAGATGTGCGTGTTGCAAGATGTCTGTATTTTGAAAGTATACAGCACATAATTAACTTTTCCCATGTGAAATCTATACTAATAAAACAGCCTGTGTGTCAGTCAGTCAGAGCCATAGCTCCAAGAGGAAAGAACCTAGAGACCTGAAACCTTGCACAAATACTAAGGGAACTCTTAGGGTGTGCACCTGGGTATTATTTGTATTATACACAGACTTTTCTGTACGTTAAAATACTTTTTTATTTACGAGCTTTCAGCCCTCTAACCGGATCCTCCATCAGGCAACAGTGTACTGGGCGATAAAACTCTGTTTAAAATTGATATCTGGGCAACAGTCATAACAGTAACTGACATCTGGTATTAAAGTTATTAAATACATACAGTTATGATTAATTTTGAATATAAATTGATTGCTTCAATGTAATAAACAATTAAATACAATTATAGGTATTATGTAGAGAAAAAATAAAGGAATATTTTATTCTTCCAATAATAAATTGTCAAATTAAAGGTTTAATTTGACATTGAAATCACAAAGTTACTGTGTTTGTGTAAGTTTCTAACTGTTGTCTTTGGTTTTAAATTACAAAATATGTTGAGTAGTTTGACTAGCTGAGAGAGTGATTGTTAAATCGAGGACTGAACATGGCGTTAAGTTTTGTTCCGTATAACGTTTTATAAAAAACATGTTACAAAACTGTTATTGTTGTACCTTTTTTTTTTAAAGAAACCACGCATAAAAGTGTTAGAATTCATATTATTGGTGGAAATGGTTATATTTAAATGTTTGTTCATTTGTATCTAAAAAACTATTTTCAGAATATGTGTATGAGGTAAAGGAATTTTATTATATGGTTATTATTTCAAATAAAATGTTATATAGAAAAAATTTTACTTATATATCGGTAACAAAAGGTTGTAGTAAAAATGGTATTTTTGTCATTTAAAAATAGCTAAACATCAGGTAAGGATAGCTAATAAAGATATAAAAATAACACATATATTAAAATAAGTATTTCTCTTTCTTTAATTCTACTAAGTGAAGTTTATTTTAGATAAGAGTTTTTGGTGAAGTCATAATCTCCCGAGCTCCACAAAATAAAAATTAAACACACTCTAAAAGAGATGTGAAGGAGCCACAAAGTGGAAGGTCAAAGGTTTGAGGCTGTCAGGTTTTACTAAATGGATTCACATGAGTATTAGTATTAATGAACATATAAGGAAGTATTCAAAACAATACTCTCAATTCAGATATTAGAAATTTACAAATGTGAGCTCCCCACCTCCCAACATAATGGAAAGTGTGTTTTTTCAACATAGCTAGAACATCCCTTCTTGATTGTTTGTTTTTGTTGGTGTTGTTGTTAATAGTTGATCGTTGTTTTTCCAAAAGATCTTAAACCTAAGTCCCACCATTGTATTCTCTTATCTTCATAAACTAAATTTTGTTGTTAAGGTCATTTGTTGCCAACTTCCAGAAATCTGATTAGCCTCTTTCTCATGTGACCTTTGTTTTGATGAGACATGAGTGTGTGTGTGTGATCAAATTGTTAGAGATCCAACTGCCTGATAATAATGCATTTCCCCTTAATGAATGTAGATCCCTGAATGGCTTTCAAACTATATCTTTGTTTCTCCAATTATTAAGATTTCAGGAAGTTTTTAAAGCTTTTTAGAACTTTCAGGACTTGGATTATTTACTGTGTTCCTTGGAAGGATATGCTTTTTCTGTCATTGTCCTTCCAACTTATCCTTTGGCTGGGATTGTCTGGACTTATTCTTTAATACATTCTTTGATGTTATCATTTCACTATGTCTCTAGTTTTTTGTGCCCTTCTCTTCCAGTTTTTGTTCTGACTTCCTGGCAGCAACTTTGAATGGTTGGTTTTAGTTTCTTACTTTGAACATACATGAAATGACATCATATATTTTTCTTGGTTGATGCTGTCATATTCTGCTGGCTGTGATTTGGCCAAACTTCATTATTTTCACTTCCTGTTACCTCCATGATGTGTACAGTTTATTCTTATTATTTATCTCTATTTCCAGTGATTGCTGCTCTGTTGAGGATAAGATTATTCTCTTATTTTCAAGACTGATATAATTATACCTCATTGTATAACCTATATACTATTCACTTCTGTTTTACCATCCAAATACATGTTAGTGTATCTGTCTGTCATATTAGTCCTCAATTTACTGACTTGTCTTTACATAATACATTACTTGTAGGGTTGACATATTGCATAGTATTAAGCAATTTTATGTGTTTTTTTTTGCCCATTACAACACTCAGTATAAAGAACTAACCAAAAGAACTGGATGAAATCATAATTTCTTCTGTAAAATACATTGTGGACCTTGGCGGTAATTAGTAAGATTAACTGTAGTATTGAGTATTTTTGTTTAATTAATGTTTTTTTGTGTCATTAATATTTATTATTAGGAACTCTTTAACCCTAAAGTTGTGGATGCATAAACAATATAGTGCATAAATACTTTGGAAAAATGTGTTAAAAATTCAGTGGAGTGTCCATAGGGTTAACACCATGTTTTACGTTCTTCACATTCCGCTTCTATTTTGGTGAGACATGATTACATTTTCCTAATTGTAGGACATTTTTCTCCCTGTTATCTCTATCCTTATCCTCATGTATGTGTTTTTCATACCTCTTGTCTTGCTAAGGCTGACACTTTTAGATGTTGACTCATCTTGTCTACTGGCTGGCTTGGTTAAGGTTATTTTTCCCATCATTGCTAAGCTGCTATTATCTACTTGTGTCACTGTCACTCTGTGGATATTTCTCTGAAATGGATTTCCATTTTCTTCTGTTCTCAAGGGCCATTCTTCTCACAAACCTATTTTAAGTTTGTAGTTTGTTCTTTGTTGCACCTTCCATGATGTACTGGTTGATCCCACTTGTCTGTATGGTGTTCACTAAATTTTTGTGACTGGATGTTGGTATCACTGAAGTTATTATTTAAAAGGTTCTGGCAAACTTCAGCATCTGAATGATGAAATGGAGTAGACATTCCTACAACTTCTGTTTATTGCTTCTCAGGTCCAGGTACCACACCCACGTGTGGAATTTTGACACTGATAATTCAGCTGATAAGACTGGGGAAAAGTTTGTTTTAAATAGATAATGATGTTTTGCATCATGGCTCCTCAATTTGTTCCACATCCTTTAAAAATGTTCTTGAGTTGAGTTATTAAAGAAAGATACGTGAATAATGGGTATATAGGTGTAGTGTCCTGAAAGGATGCTGACCAGCACTGAGAAGTGACTTCTTTACAATACAGAAGAAGTCTGAACCACTCTAGTATACTGGTTTCTGTAAAAAAAAATCTTGGAATTAAGATGTGTGTTACAACTGATGCTTATTTAAAAGACATCTTGCTGCAAAACGTAGCTTTTTTTATCAAGTACCAAACCTTTTTCTTCACACAAATTGTAAGAAGTGATTATATGACAAGTTGTTAAATTATATTTATTTACTTAGTTTGTTTTGTCAAACCCTTCTTGCTACAGATTTAAAACTTCTATCCTTAAAAAAGTTTTTTCATATATATTTTACTACGTGTTCAGAACTAATCCTTAACTTAAATGTTTGCATAAATAAAGTCAACTCTTATACTTATAAAATAAATCTTTATCACTGATATCTTAAGCTGTATATTATTGTCTGAACTGTATGATACATCCCTTGTGGCATACAACTTATCTGCTTGATTTAATTCTGTATATAAATAGCAGCAAAGCTTTAACATACATGTAATTTGATATTGATTTAGGTATTGTGGAATATATGAAAGAACAGGCTGATCCAAACTGGAAGCCTCCTCCAGAAGCTGTTGTTACTCTGACCAGTGAGAATTTTACCTCTGTTGTCAATAAAGCTGACCTTATTCTTGTGGAATTTTATGCTCCCTGGTAGTGTTTGTTCTACTTTATGTATATTTGTTTCTGTAGAATTGTAATTTGAATCTCCAAGTTGTTTGATTAGCTTTTGCTAATAGTCCACATGCATTTTTAAGTTACTAAGATGTACGAATTTATTCCTGTGATAAACATAATTGCATAACAAAATATTCAACTAATAAGAATGGTACTTGGTCAATGAGGATAATTTTACTCTTACTCAAAATTGAAATACATTCCTGATCACATTTGTCATAAAAGAAAATGATTAAGAAAGTGTTCTATAAGCTGCACCAGCCTACAGAAAATAGTTCTAATATGCAAAAGTTTTAATTATGATATATGAAGGGGTCTTGAGGTTCTTTGGTTTTAAAAAATTTAGTATTAGGGCTTGTTGATCTAATGTATAAATATATATATATAATGTGAAAAGCTTAGTTGTTGAATAAGTTTATTAAACTGTTTAGTAAGTACATTTTCAAGGATGATTCTTGCATATTTAGTTGAATCAATTTATTCAAGTTAAAGGTCAGATACTTCTATGTTTTCTGAAAATCTGAGAGTTAGAAATAAGGTAAAATGAAGAAAATTGAGGTTATTTTCAGTTAACAGCATAAGACATGGATTTGGCCTTTGAAAGATATTGTGAAAACCTGTCAGTGTTTGTTTTCCTGTTATGTAATCTAAGTTCATTATCAGTAAGAAATCAGAAGTGTTCTCATTTAACTGGCCTTTTGACCTTTTGTACAAAACCTGATGCAATTGGTCTTAAGCTACTGGATGTTTTGAATCTTCTAGGAAGAGATTAATCACCTGTTTTAAGTAAACCTCTCTGAGCCTAGATGGTTTTCAGTAGGTGTATTGCTAATGTATGTATATCAATGTTTCTATAAGTTTTCTCCTACAAGGATCAAAATAATTTAATTGATTTGTTGACAAACTTGGTGATATTACAGTGTTAGCACATTCATACTTATTGTAACAAACTTGGTGATATTACAGTGTTAGCACATTCATACTTATTGTGACAAACTTGGTGATATTACAGTGTTAGCACATTCATACTTATTGTGACAAACTTGGTGATATTACAGTGTTAACACATTCATACTTATTGTGACAAACTTGGTGATATTACAGTATTAGCACATTCATACTTATTGTGACAAACTTGGTGATATTACAATGTTAGCACATTCATACTTATTTTTAATAAACCTACCATAAGTGACCATTGCCTCTTAGGATAAATTCACCTAGGACCAATGCTTGTTCTAGTTGTTTAATGAGGACTGAAACCAGATTTAATCTGGTTTGTTATCAGAAGTTTTGTCCTAATTGTTAAATTCTGAGGTTGAAGAAAAAATGTCTATAACTTTAAAATGTGGATTACATGACAGTATAATTTGAATTGTTTGTAGGTACTTCAATTCAGAGATTGTTCAAACATGCAAATGTCTCTAACTTTAAAATGTGGATTACATGACAGTATAATTTGAATTGTTTGTAGTTACTTCAATTCAGAGATTGTTCAAACATGCAAATCAGGATCTTTAAGAATGACTTCCCAAAGTTTGCAAACTGGATATTTATCACTTTTCTTTGTCAACAACCAAAGAATATGATAAATCAGAGAGCATGATAGAAAGCAGATCTTATATTTAATTATCCTTAGTTTAGAATCACTTACAAATTATCAGAAAAATGTGTTCTTTGGAACTTATTGAATTTCCATTAATGTAACATAATTTGACGGTACAATAAATGAAAGAACTGAACCATTTTTTTTGTATTTTCATACATTTGTTTCATGTGCTATAAACTATTCAACTTGCATCATATAAGAAAGTAAATTACATGGTATTTTGACATGATAACATTAACAACACTCATTTGCTCCTTAGGCATCCTATTTTATGATCATGTAGCACAGAATTTTGAACTTTGTGTCTGTTTTGTTTTTTAAATTCTGAATTTCCCTTTGTATTAGAATAATCATTGATGTTGTCCATTACTTCTAGGTGTGGGCACTGTAAAAAACTGGCACCAGAATATGAGCGGGCAGCCCAAGTTCTGAAAGAAAATGTTCCACCAATTATTCTTGCCAAAATAGATGGCACCTCAGAAAAAGAGTTGTCTGATGTGTATAAAGTTTCTGGCTATCCTACCCTGCTACTTTTTCGTCGAGGACGTAAATTTCCATACGAAGGTCCAAGAGAAGAAACAGGTAAAAAAAAGTTCCATGTATGTGACTGATTTTTCCACAGTGTTAGTTTATAAGCATTGTATTACTTTTTTCGTAAGACATCACAGTTGTTTCTGCTGCCTCGGTGCTTAAGGAAACTACTTATGCTAGTCTTTGTACCTCCCAGAATAAAACTTGTGAATTAAGCATAAAATATTACAATGTGTAATCTTTCAAACATGATGATGAAGATGCTTAAAATAGATAATATACAGTGGTTTATTAAAATGCACAACATTCAGTTGAATTCTTTACAGACATACCAGTGCTATCAAATTACTTTCTGATGATATATATGGTCTGTGTTTTGCCGTTACAATTTTTACCTTTGTTGCAATGGTGAATGTGTGGAGTGTAGCTGTGTTTATCATTGTTTGATAATATTGGTTAGTACTATTCAAAATTTCAGCACTGTTGCTGTCATCTTTTTTATGACATTTTGTTTTAAAATGAGTAAGTTTGGTACATAATCTTATGATAACTATGATTTACTGCTTAAGTTTCCAAGACTGCTTATAATAACGTTTAAGAAGAAGATAATTAGGCTAACAAGCAATCGTGTTGTTTATTATTCATTTGTTTAGGCACCTGTAGACTTGCTATATCAAACCAGCTTTAGTTTAAACAAACCAATTAAAAGTTTGTGTATAATAAGAATGACATTAAAGCTTTGATCCTTTTCTAACTTTACTATAATCAGTATCAATCTCCCAGATTTGTTTCTTCATATCAAATGAATTTAACTTTGGTTGTTCCTAATACTAGTTTAGTTACATTGAGAACAGTACAATAGTTAATGCACATTTTAGAGGTATAGCACTTGTAATTTATTAATAACAGAAATAGATATGAAATGCACAATATTTGGTGAGATAGAAAATTTATTTTGTACAAGTAATGAAAATATTGACCAAAAAAATGCAACGGCTGTATGAATTGCTTCTGAAGAAATTTGGTAATCTCTCACAATAAACAGGACTTTTTAGAAAGTCTTTAATGAGTGCTCTGAAGTTTTATAACCATTCTGGGAGAAACTTCTGTGAAAAAAATAAAAATGTGTAATGTTACAAGTACTATTAATATAAAAACTGTCTTTTTAAAATACATGATTGTGAGGATGAAATAAGGATGGCGTTACATTATTTCATGAATAGTTGAACACTAATAGTATTCCAATTGTTGTTTTGAACTGTAAATTCTTCACTTCAATTTTCTTACAAAGACGAATTGCATCTAAATACATTGCATGGATATTTGGTGTATGTGTAAGTACTTCACACGATGTATTGATTATTTCTTTTTGTTTTTAATATGATTTATATAGGTATTATAGATTACATGAAGGAGCAAGCAAGATCCCCCAGCATAGAAGTAACGACAGTAAAGGCTTTAGAAAAATCCAAGAGCAAGACGGATATTAACGTTGTTGGTTTCTTCAGAAATGAAGAAGATTGGTTATATGATGAGTACCTGGCAGCTGGTATGTTATTCGTTATTTACTAGATGGTGTTAAATTTATAGAAAGTTGTGACAGATATATTACTATGGTTGTCCTCTTGATTTCAGAGAGTGATGATGATAATGTTTTACCTTTCATAACTAGTATAGAAAATTTATTTTTTCAGATATAATCAGAAAACTTTTCTAAGTATTCCTGTAGGTATTCTGCACGTACTTGCAACATCCTTGTAAGTTTGATGTAGAAGGTTGTGGACTTGCACTGATCTTTTAACTTAGCCATCACCTGACCGTGTTTCTGTGCCAGCCCCTTGAAGTGAGATCATACTCATTCCAAGGGGTGATACAGATGTTTGTACAAGTTGTTATGAGTTGGATATTTCACTTTGTTAAGCATGTTTATTTGAAATGATCATTGCTGAAGTAGGTAAACTAAGGCTTATAAGATACTGCACTAGGGCCATGGTTTGACATAAAAGTGGATTATCTACATGATTCTGGGCCCCTTATCCGTTGTTTTGTATAGACAAGTTTTGATTTTGTTACTGTATTACAATAAATAATAAGCCAGCCAGTTGGTTAAACCTTTTATATATATATTTTGTGCATAATATTCCTGGAACCTACGTTTTGCAGTTGTTTATTTTCTTTCCAAAATGGTACATTACCTCTTTTCACATGCATAGCTTTTCTCGTTTGATGCTGCCCTCTATATGTAAAAATATTTTTGAATGCTACAAGCCTTGAATTTCCGCATACCCCATGATCAGTGTGGTTCAGCTGTGTCTCGCATGTAAGTCATCAGATTGAGGATTTGTTGGGAGATTCATCATTATATGAGGCATCCATTTTCTCCTGACAGTGTTTGGGTTCCTCCTGCATTTTTCTGAACTTGTTCATAACAAGGAGGATTTTGACAGTTTTTCCTTTTTTCCCACCTTCATCTTACCTTTACAGCTCTCCAACAGTACTTGTCACACATACATCTCCTTTCTGAGGCATTCCACCAAACCTCTGAGGTTTTTTTCAGGGGATACACTTTCTCTCCTTACTCTTCATTGGTGCTGTTGTCCTTTTCAGCCCTATCCCTTCACACGTGGTTTTGTTGCTGTTGGGATCTTATTGGGAAGTACTGTTTTTTTACATGTTCATCTACATTGCCATTATCTTTGTGACTTCCAGATGGCTTCTTTTCTCCATTTGTTTGTTTTTGGAGATTTTCCAGAGTCTTTGGATTCACTTGTGGACTCTGAGATCGGGCACCTTTCCTTTTTTCCTGCAGTCTCACCTTCATTGTCCATTGGAGGAAGCTATTCAGTCAGGCATGTGGCCTTCACCTCATATGTTCATCTCCCACTAATTTCATTGGGTAGCTGTTTCGTCCGTGTTGGGGTACTGTTTTCCGACTGTTTCCATCCTTCAAACTTCAGTGTAGGCGTGACTGGGTAAGTTATCTTTTCTGTATGTATTATTCCCTCCAGGAGCATGTCCCATTTAGGATTTAGATCCTGCTCAGTGCAGAGTGTTACCTGTCCAGGTATGCTTCCAATATCTCAAATCCACACTGTATGGCCATGATGTATACCATGGCCTATAACACACACTGTTGAGATGGGGTGTTCCATAAGATCACTAGTACATTTTTCTTCACAATATATTTGCTTCATTAATATGCTTTTTCTGTACCATACTAACTCCTAGACTTACATGGGTAAAGCAAAAGGGGATAACTGCCTATCCCTACTGTCCTTTTGATTGAATAAATCAGGGACAGTCTACTTTTCAAAATGGGGTTGTTGTGGTCACCCATTGCACTGTCTCCGGTGTTGGCATTCCTCTGGACTATCCACCCCGTTTTATCCCCCCTTGTTCTTCTAGTGGAGTATGGGAGTCCTTGCCACTTTGAAGTGATAGTTTGATAGAATCAAATAGAGGGAGTCACATGATGATTTACGTGCAAGATGCAGTTGAACGACATTGATCACGGGGTTGTGAGAGTTCAAGGCTTGTTACATGTACAAACATTTATGCATATGGAGGGCAGCACTGAACTGGAACAGCTGTACATGTGCACGGAGGTAAGTGCATAATAATTTATGGCACATATCATTGTATTTGAGTACCACAAAGTACTTGGTACAGAGGTAATATTTGAATTCTTTCTCTCTCTTTTCAACAGTATTTTACATCATGGTATCCATAACAGATTTTACATCATGGTATTCATAACAGGATTTTACATGTTATTCATCTAGTTATAAAATATCACAAAATTGTATGTAGTAACCTTGAAAACCTGCAACTTTATTCTAAGATAAGTAAATACAATGCAGTTCACAGTCTTAATAGTGTCCATAAAGTAAAAATAGAAACATGATTTACTATAAGAAAAACCTGACATTATGACAGGTGAGTAAACTGAGTTTCTAATAAGGGTTTCCTTTGTTAGCTACAGTACCTAAATCAAATTCTTCTACATGTGATTTAGTAAAATTTAATATATGCAACTATAGTTTGTAAAGGTCAGAGTGTGGTAATTTGAGTTGTTAAAAAGTTACTTGCTAGAAAGTGCTTGGGGGTTAACACATTAGCTCAGTTGGTAGAATTCCCACCTGGCATGTGACAGGTCTCGGGCTCTAATTCAAGGTGAGTAAATATATCTTGAAAAATAAAATTACTACATTGCAGCCCAGTGTGAGTCCATCCCACAACTGTCAAATTAGGCTTGTTGGTAAGCCTTGTTTGTAAGAGGGGGAGAAAATGTTGTTTGAGTTGTTAAATAGTAACTTATTAGTAAGCACTAGTGGGTCAATTCTTTAGCTCAGTAGTGTGAGACAAGTTTTTGATTCAAATCTGAAGTGAGGGTATGTGTGTTTATATATTATAAAAATATAATACGTAACAGAACGTGGCTGGAACACTATTCTTTGCTATTGATTTTCTTATAAATTTGAATACTTTGTAGCACTTGCTACTCACTTACATAAGAGAAGAAAATGAACTAGTTTTTGCTTACTTTGATTTGTCAGCCAATGAGAAAAGAAAACAGATTAACTTTCTACACACCTTCAATCAAGATGTTGCAGCACACTATAAAGCATCTGTCCCTTCTCTTGTGTTATTTCAACCAGAAATTTTTCAATCCAAGTATGAAAAGACCAAGTTTACTTTTAAAAAGGTAGGATTTTTCTGATATACTTGAAGTTTATACCTTATTTACTTGACTATTGAACAACTTAAATCAAATTGAAATTTTATTTATTGAATAATAACAAGGACACTTAGAATGGAATGTCACAAACTGATTTTTTTTACATTATTTACTAGAAATGAGGCATTGTTAAAACATTTATCAAAAGGTACATTAGTACCAAAGGAAATACAGTTAACTCTCATTAACACTCTTGCTATGGACATCATTTTCTGCACCTGTCACAAGGTCAAGTGAATTACATTCAAAATTTAATTAACGTACTTTATCATCACGGCATGTTAATAAACTTGGCATCAAAATGTAGCTAATAATCCAAATCTTTATATTATATAAGTCTTAAGTTCTTAATTTTATAAGGCAGTATTTAAAAAAATCACCAATTTCCCCTAGTATGAGAATTGTGACATTTGCTCTATAAGTATCCTCTTCTCTCTAATATGTTTACCACCCCTCCAAGAAAAAACGAAATTTAATGTTAATTACTCATTATAATGTTGTAATCACTCAGGCAAAGCATAATTGTTATAGCCTTCATGGAGAACATTTTTAGTGAAAATACTTCATTAAAAATTCTGATTTTTTCTTCTACAAAAGACTCGTAATGATTACTGAAAGCTTGCAACATTTTGTAAAGATACACAAAACATATTAGAAGTTATAGTATGTAAACTATAAAGGTCAATTTATGGTAATAAACTCGGCTGATTCAGCTGAGTCCATGGCAAGAGAGTTAAGTTAGACATTAAATGATCAGTAAAACATGTTCAAATTATCCACTTGCATGCATGTGTTCTGACTTAGGACCAGTAAAACATGTTCAAATTATCCACTTGCATGCATGTGTTCTGACTTAGGACCAGTAAAACATGTTCAAATTATCCACTTGTGTACATGTGTTCTGACTTAGGACCAGTAAAACATGTTCAAATTATCCACTTGTGTACATGTGTTCTGACTTAGGACCAGTAAAACATGTTCAAATTATCCACTTATGTACGTATGTTCTGACTTAGGACCAGTAAAACATGTTCAAATTATCCACTTGCATGCATGTATATACTGCTAGTATCCATAAAAATTCCATCCTCATATAGATGGCCAAACATGGTCTTAACAAATCTGAAACATTTGCTTCAGTTTTCATACCAGAATTATGAGTCGCAATTTTACAAATGTTCTAATAACAACAATGTAGATATTTGTTAAATGTCAAGAGCAGAAGTATTTCAAAAAGTTTTCATATGAAGGAGAAAATAAGTTTTCAAAAAATTGATTTATGAAAATGTAAACACTAAGACACTGATATACTAAGTGTTTGAATTAACCATGGGTGGGCATGCCACAACATTTTACAGGGTGCCATTCAACATGGTGTTATGTATTTGTTTTCAGTTATCAACTATTTATTTTACCCTACTTTGCTGATTTAATGACAGTTTGTAGTAGAGGAGAGTAAATTCTAGATACATTATACATGGATACTGAAAAAGCTGTAGATATAAAGTTCAGAGGTTATGGAATATGCAAATCTTTAGAAAAAGTATTTTTTTCTCTTTGCATGAACATCACTGTGCACTGTAACTTGTCAGCGTCCGAGTCAGACTAGCATCTTCAATTCACAGATATATCCTGAGTACAAATACACCTGATTTTTGTGTAAAACAGACTTGTACATCTTACTAAAAGTATGCCATATTTCATATACATGCAAGGTTGGTACATTGGACCCCATGCACGTTAGATTGTTGGAGTTTAGTTTTGTAACAAGATTAGTTAACAAGTTATGCTAGTACCAGGATTGATATTATTCAGAAGATAACAAACTACGAAAGTCTTCCCAAGTTTTCTACTTTTTTGTTTTTATAGGAAGAAGGAAAAAGTGCAGATATCGAAAAGTTCATATCAAAACATGCAGTTCCACTTGTTGGACAGCGTACGCACCAAAATCTGTGGCTGTATGAAGACAAGTATCCATTAGTAGTAGTGTACTATGGTGTAGACTTTGGTTTTGAGTACAGAGTTCGTAAGTAGCAGTTTTATATGTAACAACATTAGTATATTACTTGATACATTCTTCAACGTAAATATTGATTTAATAAGAATGATATAACCACTAGTTGTGAGACAATGTTTACGTGTAGTTTTTGTGTTTAAGCATTTCTGAATGAAATATTTGTTACTTGTAAAGACTTGCTGAACACACATTTTAAAGGGGAAATTACAAGTATACAAGCTATAGAACAACAGCACTAATCCAGTTGATGAACTGATCTGCAATCGGTAACTCACAATCTAGTCTTCAGTACCCTATCAGAGACAAATACACACAAAAGCTTGTTATCATGGCTCCACCATTACAACAAAGCAAAATAAATCTTGAAAAAGCATGGACCTGAATGAGGTTCTCATAAGTTCACTCAAAAATTTGTAAACCACTTGTTTTTGTTCTATAAGTCTCTCTTAAAACGTGTTCTTTTCTTTTTAATCGAGGGAACTTCTTTAATTTTTCTCATGTTCCTAATGGATCTTTTGAATTTGCAGTTATTCCAATCTAAATGGTGCCTGAATTTGTGTTTACTCTTAACATTTCTTCCAGTGCCGTATTTATTTTTAAATACGTAATAAAAAATAAAAAGACATGTTTGAATAATTCATCACTTATTTGAAACTATTAAACTTTGGGATGTTTAAAGGGGAATTCCTTCTCTTAATTGTGGTAAAAAATTTTTAACTCCCATAATGGTGCTGTTAAATGTGTGAGCAATAATTAAAGTATGATAATGAAATAAATTCTAATTAAGCTGAAGTCTTTTGCATGCTTTTAAATTTACATATTTCAATCTTGTATGTAGTTAAGTTATGATAGCTAAGTTACTACTGCTTAAATTTGTTGAGCATACATGCCTCATAATCAACTAAGTTCAGATATTAATTCACTTCCTTCTATCGTGTGATTATATAAAAATAATGCTCAGGTTTTTCTGAAGAGGACTGGTAATGATGCCGAACTGTAAATCTAGGGGGTCCATGGTTTTTATCTCATTAACATAAAATCTCACTATACATCTTGGAGCCATAGGTTCATTATAAGAGTGACAATAAAATCCTGTTGTTTCATTAGAGTAGCTTTAGAGTTGGTAGTAGGTGCTGTTGATTATTTGTGTTGTTTCCTCTAATCTGTCAGTTCAAATTAGGGTTTACCAGTGTAGATAGCCTTTGTGTAACTTTATGTAAGTATCTGTAATGAACAAACTCTCCGAGAACAAATATTAGTGTAATTTGTTTTATTTATTATTATCACTTGTTCATAGAAACTCAGCTAGTTCGAGACGAAGTTCTCAAAGTGGCCAAAGATTATAAAGGACAAATCACCTTTGTCGTTTGTAATGAAGAAGATTTTGCAGAAGAACTGAAAGACCTGGGTCTTGATGACAGTGGTGAAGATGTCAATGTAGGATTCTTTAAGACACCCAAACAACGATACCCCATGGAACCAGTTGAAGAGTTCAATACAGAGGAACTCGGAGAATTTGTTGACAGTGTACAATCAGGTAATGCATTAGATGTTTTTACTGTGTATGTTTTTAATTATAGGTAACTAATACTTTCACTATTGGAAACTAAGTTTTCCATTTTATAACATTACACTGTTTAACCCTTTTGAGATGGGTCCTGGGTGAAAGGTCATGTCATCTT